AGTGTTGTGTTGTGTGTCTACCTCGGCCAGCAGGGTGGAGATGATGTGCAGCGGCGCCTGGTGGATGGACTCGTCCTGCAGCGGGGAGGTCAGAGCCATGTCCACCAGCGCCCGGATCTCCTTCAGCACCACGTCCCAGCGACTCGGGTTGTTCAGGACCTTACGGTACTTGTAGATCTTTTTCTGCAGGAGACACAGAGCGGCCGTGAACTACTGAACGGGTCTGACACCGGGCCACCGGGTCAGAGAGTCCGATTAAAACAACTAACGCTTGTTGTTTGAACGTCAGTGAATTTACAGCAATAAGTCATGAAACGACTACAGAAAGACAAAATGATCACAAAGAGGCAAGAAAGTACAACAAATAAGCACAAAGGAAGACAAATGAACGACAAAAGTGCACAAAACAAGTACATGAAAACAAAAGAAGCACAAGCACACACACAAAACAACTGTAAGGCGACACAATATTGTGATAAATATACACAAAACAAACACAAATATCCTCATAAAATGAACACAAATAGACAAAACAGCTGCAAACAGACAGAACACGACCTTGAAAAGTCGCAAAACAACAATGAACAGACATAAACTGATACAAAAAGAGACAAAACGGTTACAAAAAGACATAAAATGACAACAAAAGGTACAAAAAAAGACACAATATGATCACAGAGAGACTATATAGATAAGAGACATGAAAGCATCACAAAAAGAGACAAAACAACTACACAGAGACACAGAGTGACACACAAGGTAACTACAAGGAGACAAAAGTATTGCAAAGACAAAACAGGACTTACAAGGACACACAAAACAAGATAAACGCTACAAAGAGACACAAAATTACCACAAAGACAGACTAAACAACTACAAAGAGATGCAAAATGACCAAAAAATAACACTAAATACGCACAAGGACAAAAAAAGTACCACAAAGATATATGAAAGGAAAACACACAGAGATACAAAACACCTACAAATGACAAAATAACACACACAGAAGTACACAAAGCAGCTAAAACAACAAGAAATTACTAGAAGCACAAAACAACTACAGAGACACAAAAACAAAAAGATACCACAAAGACATACAAAAAGAAAACAGAAAGAGAAACAAAGCACAAAAATAACTCAAAGCACAAAAATAACTACAGAAATACACAAAGCTACTGAAAAAAAGACACAAAACAACAACAAAGAGACACAAAATAAGCACGAAGACAAAAAAAAAAGTACCACAATGACAAAACGACATAAGAACTAACTATAAAAATACACAAAACAACTACAACAAGACAAAAACAAACCTATAGGACGACAAAAAACGACAACAGAGACACACAACAGTAGGACGTCTGAGGGACACACATCTGATGGAGAAACATTCCAAAAGTGGGATTTCATGTTTGTGTTTCTGCTGTCGAGTTCCCAGGAAGCGTGGTGACGGCTCCGAGCTGTGCGACGCCCGCCCGTCCTCACACAGTTGTGTACGTGTTGCGTTGTTGAAGCGAAGCAGCTCGGCCTCACTTCCTTCCTTGTACGGCCTTATTTAGCTCAGCGAGCGCCGCCGTTTACACGTCTGATCCTCGTAAAGAGTTGCGCCTGTCGCTCAGCTAAAACTTTTTCTGCAACGATTCTGCCGTAAACATGTGCGTGCGGTCGCCGTTAGCCGACGACACTAATGAATTAGCCGTCAGAGACAAACGGGGAGCTTACCTTCCACTGCAGGGAGTGAAACCACTGGTCCCTCAAGTAGCTGTTGGCAGCCTGCAGCAACACACAGACACACAAACAGTTGGTTAAGGGTGAGCTCAGGGCACGATGGAGTCAACAACACATCAACAGGTCATACATGAAATCAGCCCGCGGACAGGTTCACTGATCCATCAGTCAGACTTTAGTCACGTTTAATGAAACTCTGATTCATAAGAAGCGCTTCAGAGGAGACGAACAGACACACAGGATGATAAAAAGACCAGAAATGAAGGTTGGAAAATGTAAAGACAACAAATAAAACAGAAAAGAAAATGTTTCAGCGCTGCAGGAAGAGATGAATGACAACAGCGATGTGTGTTTGAATGAAAAATGAAAATAATAAAATGTGAAAAAAAGTTTTTATTTGTATAAATATTACTTGTTTTAATTATATATATATATAATTATTAGTCATGTTTTTGTTTGTTACAACCTTTTTTATTTCACTCGATAAATGTGCAACACGTGCACCTGCTGTTTACCTCCTAAAATATCCACAAAAACACACAAACTGACCAGAAAACCTGCTACGAGACACAAACTGACTCTCGATGAAATGCGAACCACCACAAGAAAGAGAAAGACCGCAAAGAGTCGCAAAATAACTTAAGACGGCCAAAAAAATCAAACAAAACAACTACCAACGGACACAAAATGCCAAAACAGTTACCAAAAAGAGAAAAGAAAAATGATCACAAAGACACACAATGATGGCAGTAAAATGAGACGAAATATAGACACAAAAAGGAGACGCACAACTATGAGAAAGAGACGACACAGAGACAAAACAACCACACAGAGACACAAGAAGAGACACAAAAACAACTATAATGCCACGAAATGATTAAAAAGAGGCACAAAATGACGACTAAAAGACTCAAAACAACCACAAAGACACACAAAATGATGACAAGGAGACATAAAACAACTGAAGAGGGGCACAAATGGACCAGAAAAACACAAAACAACCGTAAAAAAGGCGACACAAAACAACTGAAGAGTGACGGATAATGTGACGGCCACAAAGAGACATAAAACGCCTGAAGAGGAGGCACTAAATAACCCAAAAAAGACCAAAAATCACCATAAAGACACAAAATGACAACAAAGAGACCAAACATTATGAAAATGAGGCACGAAATGATGACAAAACAAACACTAAGACACACAAAATGACGACAAAGAGACAAAAAAATGACCACAAACTGCTGCAAAATGATGTAAAACACTGTTTAAAAACGACGACAGTCTAACTGATGTGTTCATGTTCTAGCATTGAGAGAAACACAAAAGTTGTGTAAACGTTCTCCTTCGATCCCTCCCATCCAGGAGCGACATCCGTAACAGACGAGCTATTGGCTGCAGATCATCAATCGATCGGGTCGCTCATCCGATTATCGTCCGCTGCTGCTCCGATTTTTCACCGTTTACATCAAGTCATGTCCGACGGACTCGAGCGAGGGACAACAAGCGGCTCGCTGATCGATCGGCGTCTTCGGCACCGCAGATAAAGAGCCAAACGACTTTAAAATGAACCATCTGCTTCCTGTGTGTCGGAGCTCTTTACTGCCTGTTTGTCGGCAGCGAAGCCATCGATCGGCTGCTTCAAGTCGGAGGCGTGTTGGAGGAAGCGGGGACGGCGTGTCCGGCACAGCTCGTACCGTTTTCCACTCAGATAGCAGAAACCAAAGCCGCTTTAATGTGCAGCTGCGAAGGAGTGCGACTGTTTGTAAATTCTTATCTTCGCGGGAGATTAAAGCGGGATCCTCTGACGCTGCGTCTCGTCGTTTGTTTTACGTGATGCTTCGGTTCTGTTAAACCAGAGGTCATTCCAGAAAATAAAAAACCGACAAAACGTGGAAAAGCTTCCCCAGAATCAGCTGCTTTTTAATCTACCTGAATGTTTTTAAAGTTGCAGGCCCTTGAAGTCCATAAAAGGAGTCAGAATCTCGCAGTTTTGCTCTGATAACTACATGATAGACACATTTTAAGATGAAAAACACTTTTGAGTTCTGGTAAAAGCTGCAACAAGTGTCACAATCTAAAGACTGGATCTGCTTTATGTTCATTTTTCCGTCTGTAACCAACAGTGTGATGGGACGCATCGTCGTTTAATCACTGGTGTCCTGGAAGTGTTTCTGTTTTCTGATAATTCACCAGAGAAAACGTCATAAAGTGGCTCGTTTATCAGCGCGTGGGATAAGTGGTCGGTCAAAACAAGACGTAGAAAACGAAACAAAATGACAGCCCGAGAGCCCAAAATAGCCACCGATGAGAAAAGAATCCAGCAATACGTAAGAGAAACGACTGAGAAGGGCACAAAAAGCCTCTGTAACAGATAACAGCCACCACAAAGAGAGAGACACGACCAGTAGGAAACACAACATGACCATAAAGAAATGCTTAACAAAGACGAAGACGACAAATGGCCTCAAGTAACTACAAACTGACCTCAAACGAGCACAAAGAGAGAAACGACTCGATCAGAGATACGAAACGACCACACAAGATGCAAAACGACGACAAAGAGACTCACGGTCGCTCTAAGAGACACAAACTAACCACAGAAGACCTCAAAGAGATGCAAAAAGGACTGGAAAAGAAAAAAGCAAACACAAAACAACCCAGAGCAGCTACGAACTAATGCACAACTCCAAAAAACTAACAGAAAAGGACAATAAAAGAGTTTCAAAACAACCATTAAGTGACACAAAAAACAAATAGAGACACAAAAAGGTGCAAAATAACCACAAGGAGATCCAAAAAGACCACGTAACAGGACTGAAGGCCCAGATCGACT